GGGTGAAAGACCCAAGCTAACATGGGGTTAGCTCGTTAAACAACAAAAAAGCCTCATGCAGTTTGCAGCAAGTTTTCGAATCTGCCTGGTGATTGGGGTGACCGAGGTCCTGGGCTGGGACCCCGGAAGCCTGAGTTTTCTGGGGGTCTAACAGCATCTGCATGGAGAAGAAACACGGTAGAAGGGCAGTAGAGATAGAACAAACAGAAAAGTGAAGGACATTTTGAACAGGAACATAAGAGTTTTAGTGAAACAGGACATTCTTAGGTGAAAGGAGGTTCCCTCGGAGGTAGAAGGAAGCTTGGATATAGGTTAACTCCTCTTATCTTCCAGTTTACTGAGAGAAGTTAGATAAATCCCACAAAATTTTGGGGTCTAGAGTACTTTTTTGGGGCCAGTGTGACTGGTTGTCCAAGGAATATTTGGGCCATTTTTTAGAACTGAGGTGAGTCTGGATGTCTTAATGAATGGCATTAAATGTAGGGGTTTTAAATTTTTCAGAAGGCATCCCAATGGAGTGGATGGGCTTATCTCTTTTGCTGGTTTATTTCCCATGGGTGAAACAAGTGAAAAAACGGCAAAAGCCCCTCTCTGGAAGCTTGTCAGCTGGGGAAGGGTTCCAGGGGCCCCCCTGAAAAAGACCCAGTGGTCTGATGAGGACTCAGCTGTCCCGAAAAGTGAAAAGAAAGAACCCAGTAGTCCCCAAAGCTGCTAGCCGCCAAGGGAGCAAACAGCTACTGATGGGGTCACCCATGGGAAATATACCGGGAATGAAAGGGGGTCCACCATGACCATTAAGATCGTGGTCGGGGGTTCCCTTGTTCCCAAGAATACCAGAAGGGTGCTGGACACTCAACGGTCAATCCTTCATGTTCATGGAGACACTTACGCCGACTGAGAAGGGGTTCCTTTACAGAATCGGTGCTGATGTTGCATGGAGAGTCTCAGAAAACCGGTGAGATGGAGGGTGGGCTGTTGATTTGTGTGTTAGGGTCCCTGTGAGGTCCCGCCTGACTGCCAGTGGGCAGTGGGGGAAATCAGAGGGAGAGCCTACCTACTTTTCGGGCGCCAAAAATGTTAGATTTCTGTTGCAGCCATTGGTGATGAAACACAAAACTGCAGGACTGGAGAGATGACTCAGAGGTTAAGAGTGCTGACTGCTCTTCCAGAGGTCCTGAGTTCAATTCCCAGCAACCACATGGTGGCTCACAACCATCCATTATGAGATCTGGTGCCCTCTTCTGGTGTGCAGATATACACAGAAGCAGAATGTTGTATACATAATAAATAAATAAAATCTTTAAAAAAAAGAAACACAAAACTGCAGACCAACAACCCACGTGGAGTTTATTGAAAAGTGTGTGTGTGTGTGTGGGGGGGTGGATTGTCAGCCAACCCAAGAAGAGACAGAGAGAGGGAGGCAACTTTTTTTTTTTTTTTTGGTTTTTCGAGACAGGGTTTCCTCTGTGGCTTTGGAGGCTGTCCCGGAACTAGCTCTGTAGACCAGGCTGGTCTCCAACTCACAGAGATCTGCCTGCCTCTGCCTCCCAAGTGCTGTGATTAAAGGCGTGTGCCACCACTGCCTGGAGGAAGTTGTAGCTTTTAAAGGGAAGACTGCACATGCACACTGAGGTTCCACACATGCACAGAGTCCTCACATAGGTCTGTAATGCGTGGCGAGTGATGTGGTGATGGTGCAGCACATCCCTGTGCGTGCTCCGTCCGTCGTCAGGGGGCGGGGTCAACCTGATGTCAGTCCTGACACTGGCTGTCCTCGAACTTACAGGGGTCCTTCTGCCTCTGCACCATGAATGCTGGGATTAAAGGCCTGGCTAAATTTTTAATCAGTTAATCAACTTATGTAGACATACCTTCTTTTGAGGAATTCTCATCTACATATGCTCACTGTAGCTTGAGAAGAATCAAGTCTAAGGCTAGTTCTTAGGCAGATTCCTGGGGGTTGGATAGCCTAAAAGCATAGACACTGCTCCCAGTGCCTGGTGTGACAGAGTCCATAGTTGCTTAGGCAGGCTTTCCAGGAGGTCTTTGTTGTATGATTATTTGCATAACAAAGCACCTTATCTGGGTCACACCCTGGTGTACACTTCAGGCTCAAAGGACATTTAGGTCCTCCTAACATTGGCTCCTAGGAAGACATTCTGAGCACCATGATCCCAAACTGGCTCTAACTGACAAGTTCAAAGCACAAAGCCTCATATCTCTAAGGCAACAGTGGGCTTCAAGGAAGGAAGCCCTCTGTCCACACACAGGACTGCTGAGCTTTGCACAAGAAAGGGCACATCACATATCTGGAGTTCACGGGAGGAGCAACGGGATGGGTGCTGGCTCCAAATTCAGCTGGGCCTGTACCAAAAGGTACCTGACTCTAGCTTGAAGGCCTAACAAACACATGTTTTTAGCAGCTAAATTGTCACAGCTTGCAAACACATATATAATTATTAGTCTGGGAGGCCAGTCCCAAGTTTAGAAACAGCACTTTTATAGGCAGAAGTTTCTGTCCTGCCAACTGCTCCCAAGTAACTACACAGAAACTTATTAATTATAAATTTTGGCTAACAGCTCGGGCTTGTTACCACCTAACTCCTACATTATAAATTAACACATATTTCTTATATATGTTTGTCACGTGGCTTGGTACCTTTTCTTAGTGAAGGGACCAGAGCCTCACTCAGCCCCCTGCTTAGCAGCCATGACAGGCTATAAAAAAGACATGTAGGCCTCTAACACAAGGAAACTCCAGATCCTCTGGCCTCCCAGAGCCTAGGGTCAAAACTGAACACAAAGAAACTCTAGACACACTCCCCACCCTCTTACTCCCCACCTCCTGCTGCCTCCTACTTGGTTTCTGGGAACTGTCTGGCCACGAAAGAAACTCCAGGGGAGATCAAAACTCCCCTGTAGTCTCTAGGATACAGTTCTGAAAACTATTGGTGTCTATATACAACAGGCAAGTAATAAGACAAAGCCATAGAAACCACAGACTGTTTCCTCATAGCACTGACCAATGAGAATAATTGATACACAGGTATTTCATGCCAAAATATGACTTTGAGAAATTCTCCTAATTGTTCCCAAATTTCAACCAATCAGAAACAAAACCATACCTACTGATGTAATCCTTAACTTTTGTCTTAGCAGTAGACAGGGAACTTTGCTTCCTCTGGTGGCTGCTGCATCAGCCAGCTAGACGAGGTCCCTGTCATGGTTGGATGAAATAATAAAACCTTGCTTTTACGGTTCGGTGGGTTTATCTCCCTGGTTGTCTTTGGGGATCTTTCAGACTTGGACACAAGACTCAGTACAGCATGCTCATCTTGCTTCTCTTTGTGTCTACTCGCAACTTCCAGACTCTGATCTTCTTCCCAACATCCTCTTAGTTTTACTCCTGCCTAACCTCTACCTGTCCAGCTCCTGGCTAGTCAGCTTCTTTATTAAACTGGTCACAGTGACATATATTCACACCACATAAAGGGACATTCCACAAGCACTACCAAGCTTGCTGTGTTCACTGCTTCCTCTATGCTCGTGCTCAGGAAAATCAATGTCTTTAAATCCAGTGAGCTTCATGAATGTCATTTGTTTGCTCATTAGAACTTCATAACTCCGTTAGCGTGTTGGAGGCTGGAAAAAAGACAAACCAAGAATCTACTTGTATTTCTGGAACATTCTGGAGGAAAGTTGCAGCATTTCTGTGATTCTGCATCTCAGGACATGAGAGGTTCTTTGTGTCTCCAAGTAATCCCCCAGTGGTCAGGAGATCCAGGTTGGAGAAGAGTCAATATGTCACTAACCTACTATTCATCTATTACTTGTGGTAGAGAGCAGCCAAGCCCAATATGGCTTCAGTCTTCCTTCTGTCTCTGTCAGTTCTAGAGTTTATATATTTTCCTTCTGTGGTCTTTGATGGAGTTGAAGACAGATAGTTATGGCTATAGTTTTCTTTAGTTATTATAAAAGATAAGTTACATATAAGACTTTAGACTCACAAAGATGATGGAATATTTTCTTTAAATCTTGCTAAATGTTAGTGGACTAAATATTGTAACTATAGTTCTTACTTGATAACTGTTTTGTTATGTATTTAATATGTTAATGTTAAAAAACCCCTCTTTTTATTTAGAGATGATGGGGTAAGTCCTTCTGTGTATATGTTGTCTTATTGGTTGATAAATAAAGCACTGTTGGCCAATAGGTAAGCAATTATATGTGGGTCTAAGAGTCAAGGAGGATTCTGGGAAATGTAGTAAAAGGAAGGAGTCGCCATGTGATCCTGGGAAGAGGACACATTCTGCCGGTGTCCTCGATAAGATAAGTATTTCTAAAATATATCAAATATATAGATTAATGGTTATGGTTGATAATTAAGACTGAGCTAGCAGATAAGAAATCCTAGTCATTGGCCAACAGTATTGTAAATCATAAAAGACTCTGTGTTATTTGGGGGCCCTAACGTGGCGGCGGAAGCAGGCAGCTGGCAGAAAGAGTTATCGTTACATAACCCCATGATAGCTCCCTCTATTAAAATATTTCTTTCATTGTTCTCCCTCTCTGTCCCTCCCCCAACTTGACCACACTAATTTCTCATGTTCCCATCCCCCTCTCCTCCCCTCCTCCACTCGCAGTTATCCAGAATATCTCATCTATTTCTCCTTTCCAGGGTGATCATTGTGTCCCTCTTAGGGTTCAGGCACTCTTTTATAAAGATAAGACACCCCTTTGATTTTTCCATGCCTCATTTTCTATGCAGTGTTGAAATCACTAGAACTTCAGTTTCATCCCAGCACAGAATTTGGCTCTCATAAAGAGGACACAAATGCCATGGCATGATCTAAAATCCACAATTCAGGATGCCCACGTCTCCCTGGCTCTCTAGGACTGCATTGCCACTCTAACAAGAGCTAAGCACTCAGCAATGGGAGGATCAGGAGACAACATCATGAATTTTTAGGAAGGTGCTTCAGGCACCACAGAGCCTGGGAAACTGGTGTGGTGGTGTTTAAGGTGGAGGAAAGAGCATCTCGAACTCTTGGTCAGACTCACTGTTAAGAACATGGCTGCTCATCCAGGGAGCCTGGGTTCGGTGCCCAGCATCCACAAGATGGCTCAGTAATTCCAGTTACAAGGTATCCAGCATTCTCTTCTGGCCTCCACAGACTCTGCATATACACAGTGCACAGACATATGTGCAGGGAGAAAAAAACTATGCACATACTTTTTGTTTGTTTGTTTTTTGAGACAGAGTTTCTCTGTGGCTTTGGAGGCTGTCCTGGAACTAGCTCTTGTAGACCAGGCTGGTCTGGAACTCACAGAGATCCACCTGCCTCTGCCTCCCAAGTGTTGGTATTAAAGATGTGCGCCAACACCCGGCTCTTGCACATACTTTAAAAAAATCTTTTTATTTAAATTTCAAGATCATCCTCAGCTACATAGCAAGTCTGAGGTTAGCCTGGGCTATAAGAGATTCTGACAGTAAAACCCAAAGGATTCCCAGCACACTACTTACAGAGCCGAATCTCCTCTCCTGGAACACATGGTGAATTTAGACTCCCTGGTGCAGTAGAAGAAGAAAGAAATGTAAGGAGAAATGTCTTGAATGCATGGCAAACTCATACTTGTGTTTCCAGAACCTGGCAACATACAGCTGAACCTCTGGCTGGGGAGGGGGTTTCAGAAGCCCCTTTGGTCCACTCCTCTGTCCCCTGCCTCAAGCTGGGCACCCTGGAAGGTGCTATTGTCACTGTGAACCCCTTAATCTGAGATGCTGCTTTTGACACTATTTGGGGCTATTCTATCTGCAATGAGAAAGCCAGAGCCTTGTCAAGCCTCTTCTGACACGGAAGAGATACCTCAGAGGTTAATAGTGAATACTGCTCTTGCAGAAGACCCCAGTTTGGTTCCCAATACTCGTGACAAGAAGCTCACAACCACCTGTAATTCCAGCTCCAGGGCATCTGATGCTTTGTTTTCTGGGCACCTACATATATTCGATGTGTGCTCACACATACACCTACACATGCATATTTCTCATGAATACTCAGACTTACTCTAGCTTTTGCTTACCTCTGATTTTATTTTATTTTTGTTTGTTATTCATTTTCCCCCGGATTTCTCTGTGTAGCCTTGGTTGTCCTGGAACTCACTCTGTTGACCAGGCTGGCCTCCAACTCACAGAGGTCCACCTGCCTCTGCCTCCCAATGGCTGGGATTAAAGGCATGTGCCACCACTACCTGACTAAGAGCTGTTTTCTTAAGCTTTGTTCCAAGATAGTTCCTAATGGAAACTTATAACCCTTGACTTGGATAGCATCTTTTTGAATTTATTTTATTCATCAAAACTCTGTGTAGGTTAACATTGTTAATATCAATTAGACAATACAGTTAAGGAAAAGCCACCTTCTTGACAATCCATAGATAAAAATGCCCAGTAGGTTGAGATAGTACACACACACACACACACACACACACACACACACACACACACACACACATTAGGTACAGGCTGTGGGGAATTTTCCCATAACTGCTAGAGAAAGAATGCAAATTAACACATGTAAAAGCAGAGGCAAAAGATATTCTGTAGTCTGTATTTCTTGCAGACTTTGCAAAAAATGAGTTTCCTCCATCAGAAGTCATTTCTGGTGTGTTGACACCTTGAATATTAATTTCTATTTTCTATAATAAATGATAATGGCTCTCAGCAACTCACCTCTTTTACAAAAATACCAACTGGTTTTGATGACAGCAGCAATGATGATGATGACAGCAGCAATGATGATGATGACAGCAGCTATGACAACTACAATATTCAGAGCTTTAGGCAGGCAGAGACAATGAAAGCCTGACTGTCCTGGAATGAGAGAGAAGACTACTGAGGCAGAGCTGAACACATCTGTCTTTATTAGAGTGACAAACAGCAGAAGCTCCCGCTTCCTGTCCAGGCTCAGAGGCCACGTGGTCCTGCTAATGTCCTGGGAAGGGGAAAAGGGTGTGCCTCACCAAAATGGTAGCAGGTGACTCTGCTCCCCACAGACTGCTTAGACTATTCAGGATTCCTGGCCTCACTTCTTGTAAAATCATAGTCCAGGAGAGCTCAGGAAGCAGATGCATGGAGGAGGGAAAGGGCTAGAGGGAACTGTGGCCTGAGGGTCAGGGAAGTCTTTCTCTTCCACACATCACTCAACCTAAGGTTTCTTAGTCTCAGGTAAGATCTTTATATTTAGCCTGGTGGTGGTAGTGCATGCCTTTAATCCCAGCCCTTGGAAGGCAGAGGCAGCCTGATTTCTGTGAGTTCGCGACCAGCCTGGTCTACAGGAGCTAGTTCCAGGACAGCTTCCAAAGCCACAGAGAAACCTTGCCTCAACCCCCCCCAAAGATCTTTATATTTATTATGTATTTATTTATTGGCTTTGGTATTAAGCATTCTTCTGAAATTGTTGCTCATTATTTACCTTATTTTTTTAAGGCAGGGGCACAGCCAGGGCCTTGGCTTCCGGCCCAGCTCTGCCTCTGACCCTTTTTTTTTGTTTTTAAAGATTTTATTTATTTATTATGTATACAACATTCTGCTTCCATGTATATCTGCACAGCAGAACACTTTACAGATGGTTGTGAGCCACCATGTGGTTGCTGGGAATTGAACTCAGGACCTCTGGAAGAGCAGTCAGTGCTCTTAACCTCTGAGCCATCTCTCCAGCCCCTATTTACCTTATTTTTAATGTTTATCTTTATGTGTATAGGTGTTTTGTCTACATTTATGTGTATTGTGTGCATGCCTGCTTATGGCCAGAAGAGGGCACCAGATCCCATAGAACAGGAGTTACAGCTAAGCGGCCATGTGGGGGCTGGACATTGAACCTGGGTCCTCTGCAACAGCAAGTACTCTTAATCAATGAGCTGTCTCTCCAGGTCCTACTTATTTATTTATCTTGCCATGTAGCCCTGACTGGTCTAATACTAAGTAAATGGCCCAGACTGGCCTTCAATTCACAGCGATCTTCCTGCCTCAGTAGCCTAAGTGATGGAACTACAGACCTGCGCTGTCACACTTGGATATTTTACTTTATTATTTATTAAATTTCATTTTATTAATATTTATATTTACATGCTCATGTGTGTGTGCACATATACATTCTCTCTCTCTCTCTCTTCCTCTGAGACATGTGCGCGTGTGCACGCACACACATGTAGAGGCCAGAGGAGGACATCAGGCATCCTGCTCTATCACTCTCTGCCATACTCCCTTGAGACAGGGTTTCTCTCTCCCTGAACCTGCAGCTAAGCTAACAGCCAGTGAGCCCCAGAGATGGAATCACAGTCACACCCATGGTTCTGAGATTTGAACTCAGATCCTCATGCTTGTGTAGCCAGTGCTCTTATCCACTGAGCTTCCTAGGCCCATTTTAAAAACAGACAGTTTACTGTCTGTTTTGCATGTGGAGGGCAGAGGACAACTTTGTTCCATTTTTCTCTCCATTCACCTTTACATGAGTTTCAGGTTCTGGGGATTGAATTCTGGTTGCCAGGCCCAAATGGCAAGTACTTTTATCCTCTAGGACATGTTGCCAGCCCCTGCTTGTAGGAATTTTTTTAATGTGTCCAAGTGTTTTGCCTGTACATGTCTATGTGCACCATGTGTGTGCCTAGTGCACAAAGAGGTCAGCAAGAGGGTGTCTAAAGCTTTGAAACTGGAATAACGGTTGTGAGCCACCACATAGGTTCTAGGATTGAACCCAGGTCTCCGCAATAGAAAGTGCTGTAAATCCCAGAATCATCTCTTCATCCCCCTCCTGCTCCTAATTTTTCATGAAAACTTTCTTTCTTTCTTTCTTTCTTTCTTTCTTTCTTTCTTTCTTTTCTTCTTTCTTTCTTTCTTTCTTTCTTTCTTTCTTTCTTTCTTTCTTTCCTTCCTTCCTTCCTTCCTTCCTTCCTTCTTTCTTTCTTTCTTTCTTTCTTTCTTTCTGTTTCTTTCTTTCCCTCCCTCCCTCTCTCCCTCCCTCCCTCCCTCCGTCTTTTTGTTCTTCAAGACAGGGTTTCTTTGTGTAACAACCCTAGGTGTTCTGCAACTCTTATCTGTAAACCAGGCTGGCCTCAAACTCACAGAAATCTGCCTGCCTCTACCTCCCAAGTACTAGGATTAAACATGTATGCCACCACTGCCCAGCTATGAAAACTTTCTTTAGGATTTGGGGGGATGACTTGGTTGGTAAAGTGCTGGCCACACATGTGAGCATCTGGGTTTGTATCCCTGGCACCCACACAGTGCACATCTGTACCACAGCACTGGGGTATCAGGGCAGACCCACAGGAAGATCCCTGGAGCTTGTTGCCTAAGCCAATCTGGCTAAACTGGTGAGCTCCAAGTTCAGTGAGAGACCCTGTCTCAAAAGATAAGGTATAGGGCCTGGGAGGTATCTCAGTGGCTGACAGCACAAGCTACTCTTCCAGAGAACCCCAGGGCCCAAGTTTGGTCAGGTGGCTCACAACCACTTCTAATTCCAGCTCCAGAGGATCCAACACCCTCTTTCAACCTGCCCACACAGCATATTTCATAGATGTGCATCATACTACATTATGCAAGTGTGCGTGTACCTATATGCATTAAATACACATTTTATAAAAAGAGAGAGGAATGGAGGAAGACACCTAATGCCGGTTTCTGGCCTCCATACACAGGTGCACACATGTGCTCATGCATTCACACATACACAAACACACATTACACACACACACACACACACACACACACACACACACACACACACACACACACACACAGACAAATAAAAATAAAACTTTCTGTGGAAGTGCACAAGCTAATTTGAAAGGTAAATCAACACAGCACCGCTCTCAGCGGTGTTCAGCCTACATTATAGAAGAACAAAGAGGGTTTGAGTCCTTAGGCATCAGGACCTAAGGCGAAAGCAGAATTGGTGACAGACACACAAAAACAGAAAGCTTGGACTCACAAGGACCTTGGTTTGAGACTGAGGTACCAGGCACAGAAGCTGCAGCTAGACTCTGGGATTCTGTTTGCTGACTAAGACAAGATTCTTACATTTTGGGTTGTGAGCCTAGCCTGTAATGGCTGAGCCATCTCTCCAGCCCAAAGACAAAATTCTTGACCTGCAGCCCCCCAAAGAAAATCCAGCCCACAGCTTGCTTTTGTAAAAGTTTTTTGGCACCTGGCCAAACACAGTCATTTGTTCATAATCTCTGGCTATTTTTTCTATTGTGGCAGAGTTTAATAGTGACTACAAATGCCAATGTTACCTTCTCAGCTGTTTTAGTTTGGGTTTCTATTGCTGTGATAAAACACCATGACCAAAAGCAACTTGGGGAGGAAAGGGTTCATTTCAGTTTACAGCTTGAGACCATTGTTCAGGGATGTCAGAGTAGGAACTCAAGACAGGAACCTAGAGGCAGGAACTAATACAGGGTCCATAGAGGAGCTCTGCTTATTGGCTTCTTCCTCATGGCTTGCTATGCCTGCTTTCTTATAAACTCCAGGACCACTGGAGTGGCATCATTTACAATGGACTGAGCCCTCCCACATAAATCACTAATTAAGAAAATGCCCTATAGACTTGCCTGCAGGTCAATCTGATGGCGGTCATTTTCTCAATTGTGACTCTCTTTTCCTAAATTACTTTAGCCTGTGCTAAGTTGACACAAAAACTAGCAAGTATACCAGTGAACATTTGGGGAGGTATTTTAAGACAGGGTTTCTCTGTGTAGCCTTGGATGTCCTAGAACTTGCTCTAGGCTGGCCTCAAGTGCTGGGATTAAAGGCATGCATCACCACCCCCCAGCCAGTGAACATTTTTTAATGTGCGTTTAGGGGATAGGTCCTTACCTGACTCTGAATCTGACATTTCACACAGTGTATTCATCGTGGCATTGCATTGCCTGATGACTTTGTCTTTAGGACAGCTAGAAGGAAAGCAAGAGTGTGTTACTCCCTCATACCCAGGCAGTCCAGAACATGGAGTTAGGAAGGACCAGCCCCACCCCAGCATGGCCCTGCTACACCTTTTGGCCATTCTGGCCAAAAGCATCTGAAGAGATTAGACTTTAGGGGTTTCTGTTATATTTAGGGAAGAACCCTCTCTCTACCTTCCTGGAGAGAAAGTCTGTCCCACCACATAGAGGGAAGTCTGCCTAGAGACAAAGAGAATGTGAGTAAGGAAGAGGCAAACATGTACAGACAATCAAGAGCCTCCATCAAACCAGAGCTGACATAGTCACATAGTCAGTGTTTTCTGAGTTATGTTTATGGATATATAACAAGCCTCACAGATGCAAGCTATTGCCTGGTATGGTGATGAACACCTTTAGCCCCAGCTCAGGAAGCAGATGCCCGCAGATTCTTGTGAGTTCCAGGCCAGCCAGTGATAGTAAGACCCAGTTTCAAAACAGTGTGTGTGTAGAGATGGCTCATTGGTTAAGAGCATTTGCTGCTCTTCTAGAGAAAGTAGGTTCGAGTTTCAGTATCTACACGGTGGCTCACAACCACCTATAACTGTATAGTTCCAGGGGATCCAATAACTTCTTTGGGTCTCCACGGGCATCAGACATGCAGGCAAACTCTATAAATGCACATAATAAATAAGTAAGTAAATAAATAAAGATTCAAGCTATTATACAAGTGGCCTTATTGCTAGAGATACCTCCCAAAAATGTCCTCCCAAACGCATGTGCACCTGAAGCCTTGGAACTTCACCTTGCTTGGAAGCAGGGTCTTTGCAAATGATGCTAAGTGAAGTTGGAGTCACACTGGGTTAGGGTGAGCCTTAACCAAGTGATTAGAGTCCTTACAAGAATAAAGTATAGACAGAAGCACAGGAGCAAAGCCTTCGTGGAGAGGGAGGTGGCAACTAGAGTGATGTGTCCACACACCAAGGAATGTCAGGAATCGGTGCCACCACTAGAACTTAGAAAAGGCCAGGGAGTAGGCTCCCAGAGGAGTGGTTCTCAACCCATGGGTCTCAACCCCTTTCACATGGGTCATATATCGGATATTCTGCATATCAGATATTTATATTTTGATTCATAACAGTAGCAAATTCACTGTTATGAAGTAGAAACAAAAATAATTTTATGGTGAGGATCACCACAACATGAGAAGCTGTATTACAGCTTGAGGATGGTTGAGGACCACTGACCTAGAGTCTGCAGAGGCAGTGAGGACCTGTCAACACTTTTGATGTTGGACTTTTTGACTCCAAAACCATACATACGAGAATAACTTTTTGTTTTCATTCTCTGTTTATGGTCATTGTTAAATGGCCACCAGATTATTTTTACCTTTTTTTTTTTTTTGTCAGAATCTCACGAAGCCCAGGCTGGCATCAAACTCACTATGTAACCAAAGATGACCTTGAACTTCTGATCATCCTGCCTCCATGAGTACTGGGATTATAGGCATACCATTACACCCATATATATGGTACTGGAGATTGAGTCCAAGGCTTCATGTGTGCTACAAAAGCACTCTACTAACCTAGTTATATCCCTGGTCCCACAGAATTCCTTTTTTAAAGTTTCATTTTATGTTTAGATGTGTGCGTGTGTGCGTGAGTGCAGGTGCCCACAGGGCATCATATTCCCTACAGGGGGAGTTACAGGCAGTTTTGAGTCCCCTGATATGGGTGCCGTGAACTGAACTTAGTTCTTTAGACACACAGATCATATCTTAGCCCTGAGCCATCACTCTAGCTCTTTTCCCATTCTTCTTCTTCTTCTTTTTTTTTTTTAAAACCTGGAATAGCCAAACCAATTCTAAAAGGGTTTATTTTTTTAATGCATTTATTTTTATGTGCATTGACATTTTTGCTTGAATGTATGTCTATGTAAGAGTGCCAGATCATAGGCAGTTAGTTGTGAGCTGCCAAGTGGGTGCTGGGAATTGAACCCAGATCCTCTAGAAGAGCAGCTGGTGCTCTTAACCATTGAGCCATCTCTCCAGCCCCCTCTCCCCCCATTCGTAATTAACAGCAAGTCACTTTTGTCATCCTCTCTGCCTAGAGTTCTTTTCACCTAAATTTTCCTTCTTTCTTTCTTTCTTTCTTTCTTTCTTTCTTTCTTTCTTTCTTTCTTTCTTTCTTCCTTCCTTCCTTCCTTCCTTCCTTCCTTCCTTCCTTCCTTCCTTCCTTCCTTCCTTCCTTCCTTTCTCTCTCTCTCTCTCTTCTCTCTCTCTCTCTCTCTCTTTGGTTTTTTGAGACAGGGTTTCTCTGTATTGTTTTGGAGGCTGTCCCAGAACTTGCTCTATGGACCAGGTTGGCTTAGAACTCACAGAGATCCGCCTGCCTCTGCCTCCTGAGTGCTGGGATTAAAGGCATGCACCACCAACACCTGGCCTCACCTAAATTTTCTATGGTTTCATCTCTCCCTGATTCACCGAGTCTCTACCCAAAAGTAATCTTGTGATTCCTCCAGGTGAGTGTGCAGTGGTCCTCATGATCACAACAGTAGTGTTTTTTTCAGACAGTATCTTTACTCCAAGCTGATCTCAAACTTACTATTAGTTAATTTTGAACGCCCGATCCTCCTGCCTCTACTTCCCCAGGGCCAGGATCACAGGCTGCATCACCACTGGTTTGTGAAGTTCTGGGGGTGGAAGCCAGGGCCTTGTACATACATACTAGGTAAACACTCTACCCACTTAGCTTCATCCCCAGTCCATCATTAATGGTCTTATGCTATGCATAAATCTCTATTGTGTGTCTCTCACTGTTGGGGCTCCAAGGTTGTTAGTTGAGTGAGTTAATGAGTGAGTGAATGAATGAGCAGCTTCCAGGAGGAAGCATCCTTTGTGTGATTTCATCTGTGTGGCTGGTGCTACCCTAAGGAGCCCCACAACAGACAGGGTCTCAGAGACTAGGGGACTAGAGGGCGGGAGTGGGGAGCTACACCATTGTCCCTCCCACAGCTGGTACCTGCTGCATGAAAGGCACCTCTCCACACAGTTTTCAGAGTTACAGTAGGTACCCTGCTTACACTGGCACTCACGATCAGAAGTCTGGAAGCATTCAGACACCTCTTCTTGGTCTGTGGAAGCAGGGAGGCTGCAGGTCAGTCATCAGGGTGTCAGTCTGTCTCAATGTACAACACTCTATGACACAGGAAAGTAATCTGATGGAGATGATCTTCTGTATGCTGTGAATATATGTTTCTCTTATTGATTGATGAATAAAGCTGTTTTGGCCAATGGACATGCAGGATGTAACCAGGCAGAAAGTATAGGGGGTGCTACCAGACTAGGAGAATGTGAGGAGGAGAAAAGCAGTGAGTTTCGAGAGAGACTCCATGTAGCCACCGAAGGAGTAAGCCACAGCCTTGTGACAATACATAGTTTAATAGAAATGGGTTAATAATTAAGAGAGAGATGGCCAATAAGCCTTAGCCATTGGCCAAACAGTTTATAAATAATATAAGCCTCTGTGTGTTTATTTTGGATTGACAGGGCAGGACAGAAACTCCACCAACAGTAAACTTCACAGGCTCTTCATCCTGGGCACATAATCAGCCTTCATTCACCCTGTCATCTAACACAGGGACAAAGCAAACACAACGACCACCCTCCCTTTTCTTCTACAGAGCCCTACAATCTGGGCTGGAGAGGAATGGGGGGCCTACCTTAGGCCTACCCAACCCCCAAGCTTCCTTTCAAGCAAAGGTTCTACCAAGGAGTGGTACTCCCAGTCCTAAGTGTGGAGGGAGGGGGGAAGGGGAGGGGGAAAAAAGCCTATTAGGCCTTTGTGTCAGATAAAGAGTATGAAGAAGCCAGTTTGTCATCTTGATTATCTGTCTGTGGCCCATCTTCCTATCAGTCTGCCTGTTTTAGCTATCAGTGGAGAGGCTATCCCCACCCCCATGGCACACTTACCATCCCGACACTGAGAGCAGCGAAAACAGCTAGACTCACTGTTATTGTGGTTCATAAAGAATCCAGATTCACATGGGATACATTCACTCTTACCATGGTTTTCCTGGCATTGTTTAAAGATGTATGTGCCTATGTGAGAGAAGAAAGAGGTTTTTGGGGGCCTAGCAAAGCCCTGATCCCTGAAGCTCTTGTGACCTCTCTACACTACCCACACCTGGGTCCCCAACCTCCTTGGAACTTTCTAGTTGGATACCCAACCACAGTCTTCATGCTAAACTTAATGTGTGGAGGCCTTGCACTACCCCTGGGCTGAGACTGATGTCCTGCAGAGTGTCTGAGCAAGCGAGTTCTTCCTCTCCACTCCATAGTCCTAGAGAGCTGGCTTACAAGAGGCCTATGCATCCATCTCCCTGTCTCATGCCAGGCTGCTGCCTGCCCATGATGGTTTCACAGAACTCCCAAGTTTAAAGATGAGGTCCTTGCCCAATGTCCCCACCACGTTAGTTATACTGTGACCATCTTCTCAGCCTATGACAGAAGCACAGGAGAGAGGGCTACACCTAATAATATGAGCTCTGTGCATGTGTTGGCTCCCACAGTGTTCAGTCAGATCAGCCTCATCTCACTATTTCTGCAGTGTGCTTGTAGGGATGTGCCCACATATGGCTATGTATCTGCAAGTGTGTACAGGTGTGTGTACAGACCTAAATGGGTGTCCACAGACTCGTCGTGTGCACATAGTGTGTGGGTGGGTATACTTGCAGGTAGGTATGCATACAGATGTGTGTTGATAGTTGTGTGGGTACAGGGGTGGGGTCCAAGTGCAGACACTCATACCCACTCTCCACATCTCCTTGCTGCTTCTATAGAACACACCACATCCACCTCTGGACCAGTCTCTGGTTTCTGTCTTCCAAAGCCAGGGGCAGTGCTTCGGTGGGGGAAGGGGTGGATAGGAGGACAAGTAGCAGCTGGTTGCTAAGGTGATGCCCACTTCCCCTTTTCTGTCAGATTCCACCTCTCTCAGTGCAATCTCCAGTTGAGCCCTAGCTAAAGGTCTGTAGCACTTTTCCCATCAGAAGGCCAGGCTTGTGGAATGCTCTGGAAAGCATCCTGGAACTCACCAGCAGGACAAAGTTGGCAGCAGAGGGTGTCAAATTGGAACTCATTTGTCCCACACTGGCTTGTACTGTTTACACTGCAAACTATCACCTAAAATCAGAAAGGGGAAACACAAAAACACCCATCTATTGGTGACTCTCAGCACCGAAGAGGTGGATGGCTCCCACCCTGACCCCGGCTACCAACAGACCCTTCCTGCAGAGCACACACTACAATTTTGCTCATGTCTCCTCCCCAAGTCTGTCTGACAGTAGTTGGGGAGCAGGTGACACTCTGAAGATGTGTTCTTCAGTTTCCAAATTTTGGATGGCTTTGTATCTTTGCCTTTGGTGTGTAGCTGGTACAGCTGTGAGCCTTTGCTGTCCGTGAATCCTATGTGCTCTAGTATATGATTTTTTTCAGTGGCCATATCTACACTTTAAAGTGTTTTCTTTCTATCCACTTATGTGTATGAGTGTTTTGACTGTATGTATTATGAACATCATGTGTATTCCTGGTGTCCTTGGAGAAAAGAGGGTGTGGATCCCTTGGGACTGTGATCCACCATGGGGGAGCTCAGAATCCAATCCAGGGCCTCTGTAAGAGCAGTCCATGCTCCTACCCTCTGTAGTTGTCTCTCCCTCCAGCCCTGCATCTAAACTTTAATAAAGTATGTTTGTGAAGTTATATGTATCTGTGCACAATATTGTACATGTGTATGCGTGTGTATACAAAGAAAGTGTGCTCATATGGTCTCAACTGTTTATAATCTTATTGATTTTTTTTCTTGAGATATAGCCCTAGCTGAACTAAAACTCAATATGTAGCTAAAGCTGGTCTCAAAATCAGATCTACCTGTTTCTGCATCCTGAGTGTTGGGAATTAAAGGTGTGCACCATCAAGGCCTGGCCTTCTTTTATTTATTATTATGGTATGTGCATGTGTGTGAGGGCAAGTGAGTGCCATGGCATGCACATGTCATGATGTGCATTTGGAAATGACAGAACAATGTTGTGGAGTCCATTCTCTCCTCCCACTTTTACATGGGTTCTGAGGATTGAACTAAAGCTGGCAGGCTTGCATGACTAGCACCTTTACCCACTGAGCCACTGCTCTGGCCCCACAGTTGTACTGAGACAGGGACAATCCCTAAACTCAGAGTACAGTTTGGGGGAGGATGGCTACTAGTGAACTCCCAGAATCCACCTGCCCTGCTGGAATTAGAGACACACACAGCTGTATCTAGCTTTTACAGGGTGCTAAGGACCCAAACTCAGCCTGTTTTTTTTTTTTTTTTTTTTTTTTTTTTTTTTTTTTTTTTTGGGTGTGTGTGTGTTCTGGGCACAGTTTCATGTTTGCTTTGCTTATTTCACCGATACATTGGATTCTCGTTATTCACAAAGTTTATATGTGTGAATCCACCTACTTCCTGACATTTATTCTCATATCAAAAGCAGGGGTACTTTTCAGCTATTCACAAATATGCACAGAGCATCAAAAAATTTGAGCCCCCTGAGGCTGAAGAAACAGAGAAGCGGCTCAGCAATAAAGAGCACTTGTTCTTCCAGAGGGTCCAAGTGATTCCCAGCAACCACATTAGGTGGTTCACAAGGGCCTGAAACTCCAGTTCCAGTGAATATGATGACCTCTTCTGGACTCTTCACAATGTATATACACTCACATACATAAATGAAAAATAATAACTCAGTTAAATATTTGTATATATATTATATGTGTGTATGCATGTATGTACACACACATACATACACACACACACACACACACACACACACACGGTATTGGTATGTACTGGATAGCCTGGAACTTGCTATGTTTCCAGGCTGGCCTCCAACTCAGAGATCTACCTGCTTCTCTGTCTTGTGTGCTGAGATTAAAAATAAAATGTATGCCACTCCTAGCACTCAGGCTGCAGAGGCAGGAGGATCTCTGTGAGTTCATTGTCAGCCTGGTCTACAAAGTGAGTTTCAGGACAGCCAGGATGGTTACACACAGAAACCCGGTCTCGAAAAACAAAACAAAACAAAACAAAAACAAAGAAAAAGAAAAAAAGAAGAGAAAAAGTGTGTGTCACCACACTGGTCTATTTTTGAGTCACCTGACACTTACTCCTTGCAGCTGAGAGCACGCAAGGAAATAAATACTTTCTATTCTTGCTTCATCTCTCACTGCCTGGGTGTGTCTATTTTACAGAATACCCATCGCCTTTGTTTCTGTATCTTTTGTGACATTTCGAATTGCTTTTCTTGGTGTTTAAAATGGCTCTAAGCATAGTGGTGAGAAACGGTTTCCTGTCCAGAGGACTAGAATGTCATAATACCCTTACAGATAACACATGTGTGTTGGAGAAACTGCTGCAGGTGTGAATTACTGGCTGAGGAGCATGGGTTTTGTATTAATCAACATAGATTACATGAAACATCTTTAAATAAACACTTAAAATAATCTACTGATCAGTTTATGAAAGTGTGGGCAGAGGTGTGCAGGAACAAGCCCCTGGGGCTAGGAGTTGGCTCAGTCAGTGCCTGCCATCAAAGCATGAGGATCCCTAGCATTTACCTGGACACGTAGAGCATTTCTGACTCCAGCACCAAGGATGGAGGCAGGCAGATCCCTGAAACTCATTGGAAGCCAAGCTCAGATTAGCTCTCAGTTCACTGAAAGACCCTGGCTCCCTGGTTGCTCGTGCAGAGGATCTGGGTTCCATTCCCAGCACCCCTATGGTGGCTCACAACTATCCATACTAGAGTTCTAAGATATCCAAAACCCTCTTCTGACCTCTATGGACCCTAAGAATGCATAAGGGACACATGAACTCACTCAGACACATACACATAAAAAATATTTTCTTAAATCTAAAGATTTATTTTTTATGTATATAAGTGTTTTGACTGAATATGTAATTTTTTTCCAAGACAGGATTTCTCTGTGTAACAGCTCTGGCTGTCTTGGAACTTGCTTGTAAACCAGGCTCAAACTCTCAGAGATATGCCTGCCTCTGCCTCCCAAGTACAGGAATTAAAAGTGTGCTCTGCCACACGTAGCTTAATTAATTTTTATTTTAAAGAAAGACCTTGCCTTGAGAAATAAGGTGAAGGGAGATCCAGGAAGCTAGCAGGTGGCAGCCTCGAGTCTCCCAGTGCACACGTCTACATTTGGAGAGGGAAGGAAGTAGGGAGGGAGAGAGATAGCATCTAACCCTGCAACCTTCCTGTGAGTGGTGGCTCAATACCTTAGGCAGTTGGGGTGACTTTCAGAAACATGCACCTCTACTATGAGAGGGGTGTGTGTGGCTAGGTGGTACAGCATTAGCCTGCTCAAGGCCCTGGGTTCCATCCCTAGCACCATAAAAAAAAAACCCAATAAATGAATGAACCTTAAAAGATAAGAAATGAACAGGAGAAATGGAAGAGTGGTTAAGAGCACATACTGCTCTTGCAGAGGACCCAGAGTTCAATTCCCAGTATCTAAGTCAGGGGACTCACAACTGCCTCTAACTCCAGCTCCAAGGGGATCCAACTCCTCTGACCTCAGCAGGTATCTACACTCACACGCACAATTTGAAATAATAAAAATAAATCTTCTTTTTAAGAAATAAGAAGCAATGTCACCCCTCTGTGGGTTTCCTCCTGAGGCATTGTGAAGGAGACCCTCCTCCCCACTTCCTCCTCACTAACATGGTCCAGGCTTGATTCTTCCCATTAGATTGTTACACACCACCTCTGCTGCCTTCAGCTGGGATTCAGCCTAACTCTGTCTGCTTTCAGCTGGGATTCAGCCTAACTCTGTCTTTCTAACATTCATTTCCATCAAACTGTATTTGTTCATTTGTTTCTTGAGACAGACTGTTTCTCTATGTCGCCTTGGCTGTCCTGGAACTCTCTCTGTAGACCAGCTGGCCTCATATTCAAAGATGTGCCTGCCTCTGCCTCCTGAGTGCTGGGTTTAAAGTTGTGAGCCACCACATCTGCTTGCTCTTTCTTTTTTAAAAATGAGCAGGGCAGCCGGGTGTTGGTGGCGCACGCCTTTAATCCCAGCACTCGGGAAGCAGAGGCAGGAGGATCTCTGTGAGTTCAAGAGCTAGTTCCAGGACAGCCTCCAAAGCCACAGAGAAACACTGTCTCGAAAAACAAAACAAAACAAAACAAAACAAAACAAACAAAATGAGTAGGGCTTGGTGGTGTATGCTTTTACTCTCAGTACTCAGAAGGCAGGCAGACTTTTGGGAGTTCGGGGATAGCCAGAGTTATACAGTAAGATACTGTCTCAAAAACTACGTTTTCAAAAATTTTTTGGCTAGGTGGTAATGGTGCGTGCCTTTAATCCCAGCACTCAGGAGGCAGAAGCAGGAGGATCTCTGTGAGTTTGAGGCCTCTACAGTGGTAAGTTTCAGAGGTTTAGTCCATTGTCATAATGGCAGCAAGCATAGTGGCATTCGAGAAGACAAGATGCTAGAGAAGCAGCTTGAGGCTTCTACATTCAAATGCAGACAGCAGGAAAAGAGCTACTGGGCCTGGCTTGAGCTTTTAAAATCCCAACACCCACCCCCATCCAACAAGGCCCCACCTCCTAATCCCATTCAAGTAGTACCCCATCCTAATGACTAATATGACCCTTTATGGCCATTCTTAATTCAAACCACCCCACCAGACTAGTCTCAAACTCCTGGACCAAGCCATCCTTTTGCCTTGGCTTCCTAAATAGCTGAGCTACAGGTGTGTGCCTTCACCCCAGACTTTAGTTTTGCTTTTCAAAGGGCATTGATGCCTTTTGAAATTGAAAGCGGGGAGGGTCATGTAGTTGAGCGTAAGACTGCCTGCCTACCATGGGCAAGGCCTTGGGTATGGTTCCTATCACTGCTAATTTTTTTTCAAGAAAGGGTTTCTCTGTATTGCTTTGGAGCCTGTCTTGGAACTCACTCTGTAGACCAGGCTGGCCTCGAACTCACAGAGATCCACCTGCCTCTGCCTCCCAAGTGCTGTGATTAAAGGCGTGTGCCACCAATGCCCAGACAAAAATTTTTAAAATGAAATAATAAGGTTGAGGGGCTGAAGATGTAGTTGAGTTGGTAGAATGCTTGCTGAGCATGTATGAGGCCCTGGTTTCCACCCTCAGCCCTGTATAACATTGACACAGTTAGTGGCACATGCCTGTGTTCCCAGCATGGTAGGTAGAGGCAGGAAGATCCTTAGTTCAAGGTCTACAAAATAAGGCTACATTCTCAGCCCTAATGTATCTGAGATCCCAAAGAAACTCAGGACAAATGACTAACTGTGGGTGCCTATTTAACATACCAAAGTGCAATTCTGGCTGCTGGCTGCCAGGCTCTTGAAGCATCACATGTACCTGTTACAGAGTCCTGGCTCCTCTCAGTATTTCTCCCCATCTCCCTCATCTCCACCCTGCAGCCTTTACCCTAAACCTTTCCAGGCCCCAAGCTTCCTTTCCCTTTTCACCAGCTTCTCTTTTCTGTAAAAGCCTGCCATTTCAGCCATGAGCTCTCTTGGCCTCTTGGTCCTTGGCTCCCCTCTTGATCCTCTTGCCTTCTCTTCTCTTCTTTCTTTTCCTTTCTCCCTCTCCCTCTCTTTCTCTCCTCTCATGACCTTGTTCAGTCTACTGGCCATGTCTAGTGTACTACTTTCTCTCCCTGCTCTGGACTCTTCCAGATGCCTCTGGCTGTACTCTCCCTCATGTCTACAACAAAAACCTTCTCAGCCATACCTAGGAGTGGTCATGCCCTCATTTTCATTCAGTATTCTCCCTTATTTATTTTGTGTGTGTATGTGTATGGTACACATGCAGGTGCAGGCACGTGTGTGAGTCCCTTGCCTTTGTATGGGTGTGATCGTGGAAGCCAGGGTTTGATATTGGGTGTCCTCCTTGATATCTTTCCACTCAGTTTACTATGGTTACGTCTCTCACTGAACCCAGAGCTTGCCCTAGGGAATCCCTGCCTCTCTTGGTTTCCAGAGAGGTGGGGTTACAGATGGCCTACCATACCCAACTGCTTTTACATTGGTTATAGAGCGCAGAACTTCAGTCCTCACATTTGCATGGCAAGAGAATTATGGCTCTCCTCTTTGTATTTCCCGCAATTACTGTTGTTAGACATGGTCTCATGTATATGGCTGCAGATGACCTTGAAATGGGGACTCTCTTGCCTCTACTTCTCCAAATGCTGAGATTACAGGCTTGGCTATCATATCCAGTTTATTTATTTATTTATTGGATTTTTGAGATAGGGTTTCTCTGTAGCTTTGGAGGTTGTTCTGGAACTCTCTGTAGACATGGATGGCCACGAACTCGAACTCACAGAGATCCGCCTGCCTCTGCCTTCCGAGTGCTGGGATTAATGGTGTGTGCCACCAACGCCGGGCCTCTGTTATTCTTTAATCATTGATTCAGGTAAAATCTTATCCTTCTCAAGAACTCTGATGCTTTTGTCTACTGGTCTTGCCAAACTGTTAAAGCAAAACAGATTTTAGGAACAGGTATTTTGGGGTTTATCTATGTGAAGATAGGAAAGTGTAAGATGTATGAAGGTCTGGGACTGTAGTTACGAAGGTCTGAGGATGGAAAGGTCTAACACGGTGGATAAATGCAAGTTATGAAGGTCTGAGAATGGAAGGTATAAAGGTCTGAAAATGGAAGGTCAAAGATGGTAATGTAAGGTGAATGAATTAAAGTTATGAAGGTCTGAGGATAAAAAGGCTTAAGTGATGATAAAGTGAGTTGAGACATTAAAAAGAATGAAATATGTTCCCGATTTCTCTATTTTTTGCTGAAAGATTTTATTTTGCTGAGAGAAAAAGTTTTGAAAGCTTTTTTCCTTTGTAGAAAAGCAGGTCACACCTGGGTGACCACTCTAACATGAGATCATACTTTGTAATCAATCACTTTGTGCCCCTTGCCTCTATGCTGATCTGCGTTTTTTTCCTATATAAGGAGCTTGCACCCCACGCTAGGGTGTGCAGCTTTCCCCACATTGCTGACACCTGAATGCTCATTTGTTCAATAAACCCTCTTGCTTTTGCAGCTCTTGGTCTGGTTTCTGAGTCTCGGGGGCTCCTCGGTATCCTGAGGCCCTTAGGGGTCTGGGGGGGGGGTCTTTCATTCATGCTACTGTTCATAGTAAAGTTCTACAATGCCACTATAGGATCATAACTACAAGGTCAAGATTAAGATGCTTCTCATTGTCCTAAAAAAAAAAATCTGTCAATTTTAAACTGTTAATGCTTTCAGCCAAGTCACTTCTAACAAGAATATGCTGCTAATGTGTCTAATACTTAGGTTTCCACAAACTCTAAGGATTCTTGCAAGTTCCAGGGAGCTGAATTGGATCCAAACAAACAGGTCTAAGAGGCACCAGGGAGTTCCATACAGCCTGGACTGCAATGAAACAATCAGCTACCCCAGGACGTGGCAGCACCCCAACCTTCTCAGGTCCCCCAAAGATGGTCAACGTCCCCACATCAGCAGGAAGCAGTCTTGAGAATTCGATGCCCTAATTCCTTAACCTGCCATGTCTAACACCCCACCTTTTTAAATAATAAGTAGAGATGGGAATGAAAGGTACCAGGCATTACAGCCTGTTAAGGACTCTGGGCATTTGTGGAACCTCAGTGCACATGCACAGTCTTCCCTTTAAAAGTCCCAACTTCCCCGCTGCTTGCTCTCTTTACTCTCTCTCTTTCTCTGTCTCTCTGCTTCTGCTTTGCTCTCTCTTCTCCCACCTACGTGCTCTCTCTGCCTCTCTATGGTGCCCGCCCATGGCGGTCAGCCATTACCCCTGTTCCTCTTCTCCCTTAGTCTCCCTACTCTGCCGGGCATATAATAAAGTAGTTAATATGTCTCATCTTTTCCTCTTTCTCTTTTTAAACAAAAACATAACAGTGGTGGCACATGCCTTTAATCCCAGCACTCCAGAGGCAGAGGCAGGCAGATCTCTGGGAGTTCAAAGCCAGCCTGGTCTACAGAGCAAGTTTCAGGACAGGCTACAAAGCTACAGAGAAAGCTTGTCTTGAAAACCAAACCAAATCAAAAGAAAACAAAATACGGGGAGATGGCTCAGTTGGTCAAACACTTGTCTCACAAGCATATGGACCTGAGTTTGGATCCTCAGAAGCCAGGTAAAAATGTGAACATGGGCTAACACTTTCTTGTTAGTCCAACAGTGGTGGCTCACTGGGATCACAAGTGAAATATCAAACCTTGAAAAAGCATCTGCTTCCTGTTGGGTTTCATAAACAATACAGTTCAAGCTGCTTTCACCCCAGTGACTCACTGCAGTTGCAGTCCTTGTTGTAAAGGAAGCGGATAGGAAAGGAAGCAAGATGAAAGAAAACTCCCTTCCATTTCATACTTCATCCATCTTGCCACCTACTAGTCATTTGTCTGACTCCAGTTATAAGTTCTTGGTAACCCTATGCTCTAGAGTCGGCGGGACCTGGGAGAATGCAGCTGATAAATGAGATAGAATATCAGACAACTTATACTCTGAGGATTAAGAAGCATCACATAAGTAAAGTGTCCAATCTCAAAGAGAAGACGCAAGTGGCAAAACCAAGTTTTTCCCTGGATGCATATAAACAAATAACAATAGCCAGTTGTCATGGATAACCTGAAGTAACCCCACCCTATCTGTTACACCTGGGAGGGCTATGAAACCACATTCCAAGAACAATTTTGTGATTTTGAAGAAACTGAGGTCACAAGACTTTTTGTTTTCCTGGAGTTTTCTCACAAGCACTCAGAATTCTCACACGACTCCATTCTTGGACTGTGTTCCCACAAACCTGACTCACCAATTCCCCTCCTGGAAATGTACAGTGACCATCTGCTTGTTATGTTGTGACTGTTAGGGTCCGAGAGAAGTCCCCAAAAGACCACCAGTCATGATGCAATCAGCAAGATCGTTCATTGTACCAGATGCATGTGGGGTTGCACACTTACATAAAATGGCAGCAACCCAGGGAGGGATGTGTAAGCTCCTTTTAAGCACAGCTACAGGAATTTTAAAAGCAGTGTGATCATTCTGCTTAGGATTGGCTCACACAATTGGCAATCATATTAGTGCATTTCTAATTGGTTAGGGCTAACAGTGGTCTAAGGCTATAGTTTTTCCATTTTTGGGCAAGTCTGGACAAGTCCCAGGCTTTGTCCTTATTTGGTTATCTCCTGGTGTGCGACGGTGGCCCAGGAGAATAAAGGCATGCACCACCACTGCCCGGCTGGTTGCCCTTTATTTGTGAACTGAGGCCTAATTCTTAACTGAGTTATTAGGGCATGTCATGATACTTGCCTGGCCCTCTCATTGACTATTTTTTGGCTTCTGTAACCTGCTTATGCAGACTTTCAGGGCCTTGACTACCTAATCTAGGCAGATCAAAACAGTTCCTGGCTTGCTTCTGCAGATACTCAAGTTCTTCTTATAGGTTTTGTCTTAAAAAACAAAACAAAACAAAAAACCTTCTTTACCCCCATTTCACACAGCAACCTTTAGTTTGGCCTAGAGATTGCTGTAGTGCTATCAGTAATCAAGACATCTTTTCATTGTAATTGGATTGAGTCTATGGTCTTTTGCCAGGGTTCAAGAACTTTGTAACACTGTTCTTGAGAAACTTTGAGAAAGTGCCTACAATTATACATGCCCATCCATTTAAGTCCCCAAGAGACTTAGCCTGAGGACACTTGATGCTCTTGGGGTTCACAGAACCCCAGAGGTTGCTGAGATCTACTGACTGAAGGTCAGCAGCTTGGGAGGCACTGCTTTCTAGGAGACAGAATCTCTGCAGTCAGTGGGGAGGAGAGTGTCATTTTCCAGGGGTGACTACTTTCACTCTTGTTTGATGTGAGGTTAACCCAAACAGCCTGTTTCTGTCAGCTTCTCACACAAACAGCTGCTGTAACAATAAATAATAATGCAATAATGTCTTTTTTTTTTTTTTGAGACAGTGTGCTTATAGTCTGGGCTGAATTCTGCATGTAGCTGAGGGTGATTTTGTGTAAGGATTCAGGCATTATTGCTGGCCTGCCCATCACCTGGAGATATTCACTCAGGCAGTACCCTAGTCAGCCCAGGGTTCCATGGCTATGTAGTCTTCAAGTACAAAGGACCCCTTTAAAAAGAAGATCCCCACCCACTTTAGATCTCTTTCCTACGGTTCCCTTGGGGGCAGACAGGACTTTTCCTGTCTCCCTCTTCTCTTCTATCCTCTCTCTCTTTCTCTCTTTTCTCCCCACCCCCAAAACGTCTCACTTAAGCCTTGTCTTCCTGGCCTGTTTGTCCTCCTGCCTTGATCACCCATGTGCCCTACATGAAATCATCCACGGTCCCTGAAAGGTTCAGGCAGATACCTAGGCAGCTTAAAGGATCCTGTATTGCGTGGCCATGTCATGGCTATGTCACCCATTACGGGGTTATGTAGGGACTCAGTGCGCATGTGTGAGCTCTCTCTTTTAAATCCAAAGCATTATTCTCCTCTCTCTATGTCTCTGTTTCTGGCGGTCAACCTCTCTCTCTTCTTTCTTACTCTCTGCTCTATAGTCCATTTCTCTCTTCCATCTTTTTCTAATTTAAGCAAAAGAATAACATTTTGACGCCTAAGGTGATTTAGGCTCTCCCCGGAACCTCTTCCACCAGGGATACGGGAAATTTCGGGGATCCTAGAATCCGAATGGATGACCCACTTTCCATCTCTGTTTTTCCCGGCCTTTCCTCCTGCCTGTGGCAGCCTGAGATGCCAGAACTCTGTAAACTTCAACTCGGCGCTTTTCAAACTAAGGATCTCTAGAATTCACTCATCTGTCAGTTGGCTACAATCCAATAAGACACTCCTTATATTTCCCATGGGTCAGGTCCAGCACCCACTCCTGGAGCAGTGCATTTTGGCTTCCAGCCTATGTCGGCTAGCCTCTTTTGGACCACTGGGTCCATTTTTCCCTTTTGGGCTTTCTGCCCTTGGCCGTGCTCTCAGGCTGACAAGTTCCAACAGTGATCTGTGGCATTTTCGGCCTCACCCATGGAAAATACATTTTATAGGACCTTTCTGACTGCAGCCAGCAAACAGTAAATGATTTTTCCTTTTTTTCCTCATGAATGAGGTTTTGTACCCTAGTACTGCCCATAGACTGGGTGCATTTGTTTCCCAGACCTACAGTGGTCTTTTTGGATGTTGTACCATTTGGACTGCAGTGTCCTGTTGGTTTCACACATCTTTCTACCTTGCTTGTGGAGAAAACAGTCACTTCTGCCAACAGTCGGGAGCATGCTTACAGTGGCCACCATCTTGGTCATGTGGATTAACCTGGGGGCCTGCCATCTTGACCATGTGACCTAGCTGTAGGCATGCCCACTCCAGCCGTCCGTACCAGCAAACCCAGCTGCCAGATCTTTTTTGCTTTTTATTTTTTTGGTCTCTGATTTCTTTTTTCACTGGTTGGGTGCATTTTCCATGGGTCAAGTCTAGCACCCCGCTCTGGGAGTGGTGTGTTTTGGTGTTAAGCCTTTCGGTTTTGGAGCGATGGGTCCTCTTTGTTATCAGGACTGCTGAGTTCCTGTCAGACCAGACTCCAGTGTCTTTCAGGCATGGCCCTGGCACCACTCTCAGGCTGACGAGTTTCCGGAGAGTGAATTTTGCCACTTTTGTTTGTCTCACCTATGGGAAACCCATATAGGACCTTTCTGGTTGCGGCCAACAGTCGAGTAAACAGACAACAGATGGTGGCCTCCATCTTGGCCATGTGGCCTAACCCAGGGGCCGCCATCTTGACCACATGACCTAGCTGTAGGCATGCCCACTCCAGTCTCCTGTGCCGGCAAACCCGGATGCCAGACTTCTTGCTTTTTATTTTTATTTTTATTTTTATTTGTCTCTGGTTTCTCTTTTCACTGACCCTGTTGTGCATGGCTTGTTTACAGCATACTGTGCCTTTCCAGGGTCCCCTGTTTTTTCCTGCTATGGTCCTGCCTTCTTGTCACTGGAAGTTTCTACTCTGTCTTGTTAAATCTCCTGATGTGTCTGCTTGTCCCTGTATATATGATTTAAATTTAACTATATACTTAGCTAACTCTTTATGCAACTTAAACTGTGCTAAGTCTCATATTTCTAAATTGCTGTATCTTTAAATGATGGTAAATATTTAAAATCATAAAGGTCTATTTCAAATTAACAAAATATTTATACCTCTCAGTCCATCCTGTAAGCCCTTTACAAAGGTACAGCTTTTTATTACAAAAGGGGATTTTTCTCTAACTAAAGGCAAATTTTTGATTGCTGACTGCTGAGATACTAAACAGACAGCCCTCAAATGCTCAGAGATCTAAAGAACATGGCATTTAAAATGCTTTATTAAAAAGCTTTTTCTTTTTTTTTAGAGACAGGGTTTCTCTGGGGCTTTGGAGGCTGTCCAGGAACTAGCTCTTGTATACCAGGCTGATCTCAAACTCACAGAGATTCACCTACCTCTGCCTCCCAAGTAAAAAGCTTTTTATAACAGAGTGATAGGCCAGCTGCTGGCCCCACTCCATTTCCTCCAAGAAGACTGGTGGGCACTGAAGAAATTCCAGCCACAAAAGTGGTAACATTGGCCACTGAGCAACCCTGCCCTTCATCACAACTGCTGCAAAGGACTCTTTGGACCATGGACAAGAGGACAATGGAATTGATTTTCCCCATGTTGCTTGGGTCAACAGTAAGCGAGCCTTCCAACAGTCCCTAATCCACAGGTCACATACTATCAGCAGGAAGGCCGGTGTCCTGCAGTCCACAACCATGGATGGAGGACCTTAGGGGTGGCTGTCCATGCACCCTGCTAGCAAGTCTCTGTTATTCTTTAATCATTAACTCAAGTAAAATCTTATCCTCAAGAACTCTGATGCTTTTGACGACCTGTAGTCTGGCCAGCTTAAAGTTCTACAATACCACTATACGATCATAACTACAAGGTCAAGATTAAGATGCTTTTATTGTCCTAAAAAATATCTGTCAATTTAAAAATGTTAATGCTTTCAGCCAAGTTGCTTCTAACATAAATATGCTGCTAATGTGTCTAAAATTTGTTTACACAAACTCTAAGGATTCTTGTAAGTTCCAGGGACTGCATGAACCTCTGACCTGAGTAAAATTCCACTGTGGCTGCTGTTTGGCATATAAGTCTCCTCCACTTTGAAATAAACGGCATTCTCCTTGCAAGAATGACCAGCTGTCTTGTCTGTATTCAATCCTCAGATTCCTCCTCAGATTCCCTCGCCCCAACCTGTGAGAAGTTGTATCGTAGGTGTTACAACAGGATACAATACTGCAAACTCCTGCGCTGACCTCAGGGAGCTCATGGGCTTCAGGCTTCACTAACTTTTGCTATGCTTATTCTTATGGAAACTCTTGGTTCTGCCTTGTTAGTAGTGATTATGCCTGAGTTTACTGGGAACAAAAGTATTTATTGAAAAACCGAATTTCTCTGATCTGTTACAGAAGCCAGTTTCTCCAGTTGTCCCTGGCTCCCTTTGCAGTCATCCTGAATAAGCAGGAGGAACTCACTAAGGTTATTGATTATTGCTTATTCAATACCAAAAAGGGATAAATATATTCCAAAGAACATAAGAACCAAGAAAATGGTTTCTTAAAAGATGACATTAAAAACCTTATAGGAAGGAACACAGAAGGAAAAAGAGGACACGAAAGGTCAGACATTTTTCTGGCACCAGGATATGTGAACACTCAGATACTTTTCCAATATCAAAGTATCAATAAAGAAATCTAAAACTCTTAGTTCCTCTTAAAGAAGTACATTTAGAAATTCTCAGGAAGAACAAAGAAACCTAGTCTTCATAGATAAAGAGATGGGTTTTAATCATTATTTTGAGAATTTATAAAGAATAGGATTATAACTGCAATCCATATAATAAAGTTGACATACAGATTACTCAGAAACTGGTATACACCTGAAAATGATACTCTAGGCATCACAATATATTCAGC